AAATCACATGTTACAAAGAATTTTATGTATAGAATACATAAGGAACTCTCAAAACTCAACAGCAAACAAATAATCCAATTAGAAAATAGGCAAAGGACAGATATCTCATCAGAGACGATACAGTGGTGGCAAATAACACATTAAAATATGTTCAACATCAATACCATTAGGGAAGTGCAAATTAAAACCATGATGAGATATCACTACACACTTATTAGAATAGTTTTAAAGATGCAGAGAAAACAGGTTTTTCATACATTGCTGGTGGGAATGTAAAATAATATAGTCACTCTGGAAGATAGTTTGTGTTTTCTTAGAAAACTAAATAGACACTTATATGATCTAGCAACTGCACTCCTCAGCATTTATTACAGAGAAATGAAAACTATGTCCATACAAAAACCTATATATGAATGTTCATAGCAGCTTTACTTGTAATAGCTCTAAATTAAAAACAATTCATATGTTCTTCAATGAGTGATAGTTAAACTGCGGTACATACCATACTGTGGAATAAAACTCAGCAAAAAAGGGAACAAATGATTGATACAAACAATTGGATAGATATTGAGGGCATTATTCTGAGTGAAAAAAAGCCAAACGTGTAATGTTACATACTATAAGATTTCATTTATATAACATTCTTTTAAAAAACTTTATGTATATTATGTATGTATGTATGTATGTATTTGAAAAGGAGAGGGAGAGGGAAAGAGAGAGAGAGCACAAGTGGTAGGGAGGGGCAGAGGAAGAAGAAGCAGACTCTGCACCAAACAGGGAGCCCAACACAGGGATCCATCTCAGGACCCTGAGATCATGACCTGAGCTGAAGGCAGATGCTTAACATACGGAGCCACCGGGTGCCCCTTATATAACATTCTTGAATATTCTACAACAAAATTAGAGAAATGAAGAGGGGTTGCGAGGGGATAGCATGGGAGGAAAGTGGGGTGGGTATAAAGAGCATGAAGGAGCCTTGGGATGATATAACAGTACTGTGTCTTGATTGTGGTGGTGGTTACATGAATCACCATGTGGTTTTGATATTATAACATAGTTAAACAAGATGTTACCAGTGGGGGAAAATGAGTGAAAGGTAGATAGGACCTCCATGCATATATTTTTTGGAATTCTCTGTGAATCTATAGTGATTTTTCAAGTTTATAAAAGGAACTACTGATACAGCAACAAACTGAATGGATCTCAAGAGCACTGTGCTGAGTGAAAAAAAAAAAGCCGATTTTGAAAGGTCACACGATGTGTGATTCTATTCACATAACATCCTTGAAATGACAAAATTATAGAGATGGAGAACAAATTAGTGATTTCTAAGATTAGGGATGGGATTGTGGGGAGAGGGGCAGATAGCACAAGAGAGATTTTAGTGGTGATGGAATATACACACACAAATGAATGCATGTAAAACTGCTAAAATCTGAATTTCATCTATAGATTGTACTAATATCAATTTCCTGGTTTTCATATTGTACATATTGTAAGGTGCTCCCTTGGAGAAAACTGTACTACTTTTGTATCTCCCTATGATCTATAACCATTTCAAAATTTACAAAAATATTTGAGAAAAATTAAAAGAGCCCTTTGAACCTCAAAGTTTTACTGGCAGGAAGCATGTGAAGAAAATGACAACTGCAAATGTGCACAAAAAAGAAAGAAAAACTCAGAACAAAAAGTCCAAGGGACAGAGTCAAAATTTTAGTAGGATTTTGTGTAGAAATCAACAAGCTGATTTTAAAATTCACAAGGAAAGACAAATGAAGGATGATAGTCAAAACAATTTTTGAAATGAACAGAAGGAGTGCCTGGCTGGCTCAGTCTGAAGAGCATGCCACTCTTGATCTTGGAGTCATGAGTCTGAACCCCATAGAGATTACCTAAATAAATAAACTTAAAAAAAAAAAACAAGAAAGTTGGAAAACTCACTAATTTCAAGTATTATTATAAAGTGCTATAGTCGGGGTCATGAGTTTGAGGCCCAGGTTGGGTATAGAGATTAAACCTTAAAAAAAAGGAAAATTGGAAAACTCCCTAATTTTAAGAGTTACTATAAAGTGCTATAGTAATCAAAACATATTATAAAGCTTACTAAAAGGAATCAAGACAGTATGGTACTGGCAAAAGGACAGACCATATAGATCAAAGAAACAGAACAGAATCTAGAAATAAATCCATACCTATATGGTCAATTGACTGTTGAGAAAAGTGCAAAGGAATTCAATGGAAAGAAGAGTCATGCTGTGTAGGGGCACACCTGGGTGGCTCAGCGGTTGAGCATCTGCCTTCCGCTCAGGGTGTGATCCCAGGATCTGGGATGGAGTGCTACATCAGGCCCCTTGCAGGGAGTCTGCTTCTCCCTCTGCCTGTGTCTCTGCCTCTCTCTGTGTGTGTGTCTCTCATGAATAAATGAAATCTTAAAAAAAATTGTGTAGGAATAACTGGATATGCATATAGAAAAATCCTGATCCATACCTTACACTATATATAAAAATTAATGCAAAATGAGTCCTTGATCTAAATTTAAAAACCTGAAACTGTAAAATGTTGAGGAGTAAGCCTTGGTGATTTGGGGCTAGACAAATATTTCTTAGATACAACACCAAAAGCATAATCCATTTTTTAAAAACTCATAAATTGGGGGATCCCTGGGTGGCGCAGCAGTTTAGCGCCTGCCTTTGGCCCGGGGCACGATCCTGGAGACCCGGGATGGGATCGAATCCCACGTCGGGCTCCCTGCATGGAGCCTGCTTCTCCCTCTGCCTGTGTCTCTGCCTCCCTCTCTCTCTGTGTGTGACTGTCATAAATAAATAAAAAATAAAAAAAATAAAAATAAAACTCATAAATTGGACTTCATCAAAATTAAGAATCTACTCTTCAAAAGGCAGTTAAGAAAATGAAAACATAAACCAGAGACTAGCAGAAAATACTTGTAAACCATATGACTGACAAAGGGATCCAGAATTTACAAAGAACTCTCAAGCTTAACAGTATGAAAAACAATCCGATTTTTATTATTTAAGTAGGATCAACACCCAGTGTGGAGCCCAAAATGAGATTCAAACTCATGATTCCAAGATCAACACCCCAGCTAAGATTTAGAGTCAGACGCCCAACTGACCCAGGTCCCTCAAAAACAACCCAATTTTTAAAAACGGGCAAAAGATCTGAACAGACACTTCATCAGAGGAGATAAATAGATGGCAAATTAGCACATGAAAAAATGCTCAATATCATTAGTTATTAGGGAAATGTCAATTAACCCTACTGTGAGATACCATTACATACCTACTAGAATGGCTTTTTATTTATTTATTATTTTTTTAAATTTTTATTTATTTATGATAGTCAGAGAGAGAGAGACAGAGGCAGAGACACAGGCAGAGGGAGAAGCAGGCTCCATGCACCGGGAGCCCGATGTGGGATTCGATCCCGGGTCAACAGGATCGCGCCCTGGGCCAAAGGCAGGCGCTAAACCGCTGCGCCACCCAGGGATCCCTAGAATGGCTTTTTAAAAAACACAACCTGGGTTGCCTGGGTGGCTCAGTCAGTTGAGCGCTGACTCTTGGTTTCAGCTCTGGGTTTCAGGTCATGATCTCGCAGTTGAGAGATCAAGCCCTGCATCAGTCTCTGCACTCAGTGCAGAGTCTGCTTCAGATTCTCTCTCCTTCTCCCTTTTTCACCTTTATTTTTAACAGAGTTTGTAGAAGCATAATAGGCTGCAACTGACTCATAACGGCTTGCAAAAGCCTATGATGCTTCTACGAATTCTGCTGACTGGTCATTAAGCATAGTCATCATTAAAAATCAAATTATACAAACTTAATTAAATTAATGATATTAAAAACAAGGTGAAAAATGTTCAAACTCATCACTTCCAATTGTTTGCTACCTTTTGCTATTATCTATGCTCTCGAGAGTCTTCACATTTGTAGAAATACAGTAGAAATACATAATGGTATGCTAGTCAAACCATGTTCAGCCAAATGGAGCAGCATAATGGAAATGTGCATTTCTATTCAACTCTGCATTCAGTGACATCACACCGGTACCTTGAAATCAGCCTTGGTAGGAGTTGTTACCCCAAAGACATAGGTACTTGTTATAAATTAGGTTTTGATTTATTATTTTGTTGATTGTCTAGACCAGAGGTTTATCATGGGCCAAATTCAGCCTATTTTTGTAAATAAAGTTTTATTGCAACACAGCCATGCTTACTAATTTGCATAATATCTGTGGCTGCTTTCACACTACAGCAGCACAGCTGAGCAGCTGTAATGCTGTGGCCTACAAAACCTGACATATTTACTATCTTGCCCTTTACACAAGAAATTTGCCAACCACTGGTCCAGCCTTAAGAAACTAATGGAAGAGGGGCATCTGAGTGGCTCAGTTGGTTAAGCATCTGCTTTCAGCTCAGGTCATGATCCCAGGGCCCTGGGATCAAGCCCTGCATCGAGATCCCTCCTCAGCAGGGGAGTCTGCCTTTGCTTCTCCCTTTCCCTCTCCCTCTCCCCCTGCTTGTGCTTTCTCTCTCGAATAAATAAAATCTTTAAAAAAGAGAAACTAATGGAGATATTAATAATGCAATTAAATGTAAACACATATGTCCTGTCTATACATTGTAGACAACACACAGACAAAAAAAATTTTTTGAGAAAATATACTTCCTGTATTTGAAAACTCTGATCCAATACAGCAGATAAATCAGTATGTCACTGATGAATGAGTGAAATTCCAACATTTTTATTCTTTCACTTTTTTGCTTTCTTCTTTCCCTTTAGTGTAAGTGAAAATGTCAACATTTATGTTGGAGCTACACTTGTTCATCCATTGTGACCATAGGCTGGTTATGGATATGAGTCAGGCAAAATCCAAGAAAAGCCTATTTTAAGAATGAACTGGCTGTTTGGAATTTACAATAAAGAGTATTGAAGAATTTTATTATTTTAGATTTCTATCAGTAAAATTTATAATAAATTCACACACACAAATACATTTTGTTTCAGGGAGCCAACTGCTAAACATTCATAAGCACACACACTGTTTTGAACTCCACTAGAATGTATGTTCCTTGAGGGTAAGAATTTTCTTTTATTTCAGTGCTTAGAACAACAAATGTAGCAGGTGTACCATCAACATATGACATGAATAAACAGGAGCATTACTGGGAACACCTGGTTTCATGCGTTGATTATCAGACCTTCAATTTCCAGCTCCACCATTATCCAACTGTGTGGCCTTGAGTAAATTCTTTAACCTCTTTGAACCCTGGTTTCTTTATTTAAAAAGAGAAGATAATTCTCTTACCTCACAGGGAGGTGTTGACAATATATGCCTCTGCCTGGCACCTACTAGGTTTTTCCACAGGTGGGAGTTTCCTCCTCACCCTCCACCCCTGCCACACACATACTCCGTGGAGACCCAGCCCTGCTGCTGTCACAAATTTCAGTGATGTCACAGCTCCCCTCCCAGGAAGCTCCAGCAGAGCCGTGCTGACGGCCAGCCTGAGTGCTGGCCGAACTGAGAGGGGCAGGAAGCAGGTGGTGCCTGGTACCAGTGTTGCTCCATTTGTCTTTGAGGTCTCACAGCCCCAGTATGACTCCATCAGCAAAGAAGAGGCCCAAGAATAGAATGGTTTCTAAGGTTGGACTTGGGAGTGGACACAGAGGGGATCCAACCACACCCAGAACAGGGTCCATCTAGGCTTGGGGGAAAGGGAGAGGTGAGGGTGAAGGGAGGTCAGGAGAATTAGAGTGGTCTTCCCATTTCTGTCCCCAAACCAAGATGACAAAACCCCTGGTCAAAGGTTAGTCAAACCATGTTCAGCCAAATGGAGCAGCATAATGGAGGCATTCAGGGGTATTTTTCCTATGTTAGCATACTCTCTCCCTCTGTCCGTCAGATACAAGATGAAGAACCAAAGGACAAGATACCGCAATCTGTCAACAAAGTAATTGGGCGGCACCGACTTAAGATGGTGAGATCCCTCATATTGGTCCCTCCTGGGTGCCAGGCTTGTTGTGACCCAGAAGGGGTCACCAGGTGCAGCCCTGAGTTGAGCTGAGCCAAAGTCTAGGTGGGATGTGGGAGGCTACCCCAGGAAAGCTGAGGCTTCTGTTTTCCTGGTTTGTTGATCCTGGCAGGTATTAAAAAACTTGTCGCTCTTGAAGCTGCTCAAGAGCTCGAACCCCCGGATCCAAGAACTGCATAACTTGGCCAGAAGGTGTTGGAATTCACTGCTCAGAGTTCCACAGATCCTTGGGATCTCCACTGGGTGAGCTCAGCCCCCTGGCTATCTTTACTAGGAGTGGGCACTATCTATGCTGACAAATTTAGAAAACCTAATTTTCACAAAGATTCTATGATAAAGGTATTTATTAGCCCTATTTTATGGATAGGGAACCGAGGCTCAAAAGATAGTGACTTGTCCCAACTAACTCAAACTGGTAAGTGATAGAGCTAGGATTTGAAGCCATTCCTGTGTGATATCAGAGCTGTGGTCCTAGCTAGTGTCATAATCATCCAATTATGGGGCTAACCACCAACTGGGGCACTACCCAAGCAAGAGGGACCACTCCTCCTCCTCCCCACCCTCAAGTCCATACCACTCAGAGATTCACCTGCACACCAGTCATCTGGCTAAGGCCTGGCTTCCTCATAAATCATGTCAGAATATTAAGAAAGTTGACATTTATTAGGCATCTGCTAAGTACTTCACAAACATTTCCCATGGAGTTAATTCTTCACCGCAGTCCTATTAGATAGAGTTATCCCAGTTTCACAGTTGAGGAAACTAAGCTTTGAGAGGTGAAATTTCTTGCCCCAAATCACAGATGGTAAGAGGCACAAGCAAATTTGAACTCCCATTTGTTGGTCTTGAAAGCCTGTGGTGGCCAAGCCATTCCACCACTGCCTCCTCCTTTGTGGGGCTGGTGTGAGGGTCCCACGCCCAATGCACAGTGGACACTCACTCAGTAGTGGCAGTTAGCATTGGTACTGGCATTACGTTGAGCCTCAGTCCTCACTCCACTCCACACATATTCAGCTAGAACAATGCTGTCACTGTGCAGAGGACTCAGTCTATTACACACCTTCTTGGGGCAAGTCTTCTTCTAGCACCAAATATCTCCACCTAATGCCTCCTATCAGAGCTCCTCTCGGAGCTGGCCTCCTAGACGCCAGCAATCAGGAAGCACTGGGCTGGAGGGGTCAGGCCTCTCTCATCCCATAGTTTTCCAACCTGTTTGAAGAAGCAGAACCTCTCTTCAAGTATCTGTCATCAAGCCCCAGCTGTGCTGTTAGGCAGAAAGGTATCCTGCCCTCACTCTGCCCCACCCCTGGGTGCAGAGGCATTTGAGATATCTCCTGAGAAACTTAAGGTTTCTTGGAGCAGAATTTGAAAACACTGGACTAGTTCACTCCACCTCTCTGAAATCCAGAGAGGCAGAACCATGGCCAGCGGCCCGTGAAGACAACATACAGTCCACAGTCCTAGGTGTTCTAACTCCTGGTCACTGCCTCTCACGTTCCCAACCTCTCCTGTCCCTTCGATGGTCCTCATCACCTCCTCTGCCTCCAGGCCCAAGGCCTCTGGTTGCGAAGTTTCTTTTCTCGCCTGACCTGGCTGCATAGCAATGGTCTCAGGGTGAGGCTGGAGGACCAGGACCTTTAGTCTTACTGATTGCCTTCCCTCCCCCTGCCAGGAGCAGCAATGTCTGTGATAGAGTGGAACAAGATAATGAAGAGCTCCAAGAGGCTGGGTGCCCCAAGAAGATACTGGAATCCAAGAAGTTAGAGTCCACAGGGGAGCCCAAGGTGGGACTATGGGAGAAGAATGAGGCGCAGCAGTCACCTGCAGCAGTGCGCCAGAGCCAAGAACAGATGGAGCCTGAGCTCCCAAGGACATCGAAGGGTCATGACCTGACCACTCACCCCGGAGCCCAGGGGAGCCAATCATCCACTAGGGACCCCCGCATCATCTTCCTAAAGACCTACCAGCACAGAACTCCCATGGGTGACAAGAAACAGCAGGAAACTGTAGCTGACCAGTGGATCTGGTTTGAAGGGTTGCCTACACGAATCCACCTCCCAGGGCCTCGAGTGATGTGCAGATCATCCACCCTGCGCTGGGTCAAGCGTTGCTGCACCCGCTTCTGCTCTGCATCACTTGAGCTACCCATGTGCCATCCATACAAAGTGTGACAGCACCACTGCCAGGCCAGGGTGAGACACAGGCCCCAAGCCAGGCCTGGAGCTGGGCCCTAGAGTGGGGCTGTAGCTAGCTTGCAGTGCTGGGGGACCCCTCCCTCATGCCTAGAGAGGGGGAAACCATTGATGAAGGCCACACAGCAGGGTGGTGGCCAGGCTGGGGCCTCTCAAGATCCAAAGAGGGGTTCTGGGGAGGGACACTGGAAGTGGGGGTTCGGAGGTGGGTCATCTATCTCACTGCCTGGAGGCCTCAGAGCCACAACAGCAGCTATGGCTCAGAATCTCAGTCAGGAGTCTGAGTAAGGGACTTGAGGGATTTCCAAATGTTAGGGGAAGGGGGAGTGGTCAAGTAGAGCTTTGCCATATCGCATCCCTTCTTAGACCAAATCACTGCCCCCCATTTGTTTCATTTATTCATGCTTCAAAGAAGATTTCCTCTGAACAAAAAGTTTCTTAGCAAAAAAAGAAAGAAAACAAAATACTCCAGCCTTCCATGAGAGAGCTGAGGTCCCAAGAGAGGAAGGGGTAAAAGTCTTGGGTGTCCATCTGAAAGGGAGGCTTCCCCTGCACAAAACCCCAAACCCCAACCTGCTAGATTTCAGGGCACCCTCCCTCTCCCCAGGCAGCAGAGCCCCCTGGTGGCCATCTGCACTCCTAACACCAAGGTCTCTGCTCACAGGTGGTGTGACCTGGGATGGGAGCCAGAAGTGTGAGGTGAGGGTGAAGATGGCGCCATCATCTGAGCGGGAGGGATGGGCGGGAAAATTCTCCAGTCTACAAATAAAATCTCCCATAGTGAATTGAAGAATACTACCGCTGGTTCTGCCTGTTTGGGGCTGGTGGAAAGAGCCCCTCCACCCAGGTGGGGAGAGTAGTATGCATCTGATTTTAGATTTCTTCTACCCCATTCCCAGGCCCCTAAAGTCTGTCTAGAACCTGGCACACAGAAACCAGCAAACTGCACCCCTCCCCACTCGAGTGAGTTGGCCTCCAGAAGAGTGCACTCTATGAAGTCATGGAAGGGAGACAGTTGTCAGATGCTTTCTGGGTGCCAGGTACTTCAAATGGCCCTGCAAGACAAGGGGATGAGAGGCCGTGGTTCTGAGACAGAAGGTGATTTGGCCAGGCTCAAGGGACTAGGAAGTGGCAGGGCAGACTCTCTAGAACTGCTGGCTGCTCCCCATTCCATTTTCTGAAGAAAGGAAAAAGGCACAAGGAAGCATCCAGCCTGCCATTCATGGGCATTGCGCCCCGGATATTGCAGCATCGGGTGTCAACAAATGGGTGTCAGCTGGGCCTCAAAATGTGTTCCACCTGCGTCAAGGAAAGCACCCAGTCAGGCCCAGGGTCAGTACTCCGGCTAGACAGCTCTGGCGGGACACAAGCCCAGCCCCCTACCTACCCGCAAGCCGCATTGACCCCATCGAGTCGGGGTCGCCCTCTGTTGGCAGGAGCCACAGCCCTGAACATGCAGTTGGGGAGAGGAAAACCCAGGGAACCCGGGCTTTCTGGGGTTCTTCCCCTGGGAGGCAGGTTGCCCGGATTGGCGCCCTCAAGAGAGCGCGCAGTGATCAAGGGGCGCAGAGCAAAAAAAAAAAAAAAAAAGAGAGAAAAAAAAGGGGGGGGGGGCGCAGAGCAGTTCCTGCAGGAACCCAGGCGGTAGCGGAGATGCCTGGAGCGGGAGAGAGGAAGACGGGAGGGGTTCCTCCGAATCCGCTGCCTGCACGCTCCTCCATCCCCGCGCTCTGCTCTGAGACTGCGCCTGGCTGGCCGGCGCGACCACGATACGCACCGCACCGCGTTAGCTCTGGGCGGCGCTGCCAGCCTGAGCCCGCCGGCACGGGGGCTGCTCTGGGGCCACCCCGCTCGGCCCTGCGAGCCTACGCCTGCCTGGGTGCCGCGCTCCCCACTCCCGCCTCCTCCGCGCCCATCGCGCCACTTCCCGCGCTGCCTCCACCCTGCAACCTCCAGCCCAAGCTGTCTTCCCGCTTGGCTTGCTTGCACTCCAGCCCACCTCCTGGGTAGTCGCCATTTCGGTTCCGTTACTGGACAGCATCCATCCCATCAGTCTTTCAAAATCACCCCACTGGCTCTCCCACCCCCAGCACTCTCCATTCCATCAACCTCCATTCCATCAACCTCCCAAACTAATGTCTGTCCCCGTGTGCTACCAGCAGGTAATCAGGGCAGCCGTGCTATCAACGAAAACATACCACGTTGGGGACCCCCTGCAGTAGCCTTCATGGGAGCGGGCCCAGGAGTCCCAAGTGAGAACCCAAAAGGTGTGGGCCTGAGAAAGATTGGCAGCTTCCACTTTGCTGCAAAGGGAGCCAGAGTTGGGCCCAAGGACAGCAGTTGGATGGGCTGTTCCTGTGTGCTAAGGCTGGGATCCTTCCTGTCCAGGGCACCACCAGGGTGCAGGGGTGCAAGGGTGCAGGCCTCAGTGTGAATGACTCCCAGCACTGCAGTCTTTCCAGCCTTACCCCCACTTGAGCTGGCACTTGGGCCTCAGGCAACCTGCCTTCCACAATCCCACAGCTGGAGTCCTCCCATTACCATCTTCCCTATGCTTGACCTCTTCTGGGCTCAGTTAGATCCTGCTTTGGGCAGGAGGCGGCAACAGATCTCAGGGATCAGAGGAGACCACTCCAGAAAATGGCTCCCTATCAGTTAACAGGCAAAAATTAAAGTGTTTGATGCAGAGTGATTTTTAAGAAGTCACATGACCTCTCTGAGTCTATTTCAACGGTTTATAAAATTGGGATACTAATAATCATTCCACAGGGCCTGGAGAAAATCAGGCTTGATGCAGGTGAAGCCAGTTTGTGGGGTGTTGAACAAATATCCTTTTTTTCTGCCTCCTTCCTGGCCCTGTGCCACAATAAAGCCCCTAACTGCTCACTTTTAAGGGAATTAGCAGCTTGTTAAATAACCAATCTTCTGTTCACATTCACAGCCTTTTGCTATGACATCTGGGTTCCAGAGACTGTCCTTCTCCAACTCTGGATCACCTACCACTAAACATAATTGGAATGTGCAGAGAATGAAGCTGTTGAGGCAGACAGGCCTAGCTTCTTATCACCTGTGTGATGTTAGGGAAAGGTATTTACTCCTTCAGTTTCTCTGTCTGCAAAGTGAGAAAATAATGGTGCCTATCTCACAGGATTGAGAAGAGACACAAGTCACTCTGCAATGGATGATACATAGGAGCGCAGTAGTTGGTAGTTGTACCCCAATCATGGGCAAGCCTGTCCCCCAACTAACAGTTGAAAACACTGAGGCTTGGAAGAAAAGGATCTCCTCTGTAAAAGGAGTAGAGATGGGGCAGTGGCCCAGTAACTATAACTGCTTAGATTTCTGGATCACTTCCTATAGGTCAGGCATCATGCTAATAAGTGCTTTACACTAAATACCTCGTTGAATCCTCACAAGACCTCAGAAAAGTGCTGTCTTATCCTCATCTTACAAACAAGGAAACCAAGGCAAGAGCAGATCACCAAGGCCTCACCACTAGTAAGGGGTCCCAGGACTTGACCCTGTACTCCACCGTAGCCCTCTCAAGTCAAATAGCCTTGGGACCCACTTTTCTTTTTTTTTAAAGTAGGCTCCACACTCAGCATGGAGCCCACACAAGGCTTGAATTGATAACCCTGAGATCAAGACCTGAGCTGAACTCTGGAAAACTGTGTGGAGGTTCCTCAAAGAGTTAAAAATAGATCTGCCCTACCACCCAGCAATTGCACTGCTGGGGATTTACCCCAAAGATACAGATGCACTGACACGCCGGGACACCTGCACCCCGATGTTTATAGCAGTAATGTCCACAATAGCCAAACTGCAGAAGGAGCCTCAGTGTCCATCGAAAGATGAATGGATAAAGAAGATGTGGTTTATGTATACAATAGAATATTACTCAGCCATTAGAAATGACAAATACCCACCATTTGCTTCGACGTGGATGGAACTGGAGGGTATTATGCTGAGTGAAATCAGTCAATTGAAGAAGGACAAACATTATATGGTCTCATTCATTTGGGGAATATAAAAAATAGTGAAAGGGAATAAAGGGGAAAGGAGAGAAAATGAGTGGGAGGTATCAGAGAGGGAGACAGAACATGAGAGACTCCTAACTCTGAGAAACGAACAAGGGATGGTGGAAAGGGAGGAGGGCGTGGGGTGGGGGTGACTGGGTGATAGGCACTGAGGGGGGCACTTGATGGGATGAGCACTGGGTATTATGCTATATGTTGGCAAATTGAACTCCAATAAAAAAAAAAAAGACCTGAGCTGAGGGGCACCTGGGTGGCTCAGTGGTTGAGAGTCTGCCTTTGGCTCAGGTCATGGTCCCGGACTCCTGGGATCGAGTCCCGCATCAGGCTCCCTGTAGGGAGACTGCTTCTCCCTCTGCCTGTGTCTCTGCCTCTCCTTCTGTCTCTCATGAATAAATAAATGAAATCTTAAAAAAAAAAAAAAAAGACCTGAGCTGAGATCCAGTCAGATGCTTAATCAACTGAGCTGCCCAGAGCCCCAGACCCCTACAAATCTGACTTGTCCAGATAGGGACAAGATAGGGATCCAAACTCTCAGCAACCTGTACCCATCCCTGTCTCAACACTATTTTCACTACCACTTGCTTCTTTCCTACAGAAAACCTCAAGCAAGGCTTTCTCTTTCCACAGAGGGCCTCTCTTGTGCCCTGAATCTGCCCACACTCACCTGCCCCTGAAACTCTGTGCTCCTTGGGCTACAGATATAGGGAAAAGATCCATGTCTGTGCACTGACTGCCCCCCTGGGACTGCCAGAGGAAGCTACTCTGATCTGGGAAGTCACTGAACAGCCTAAGAAACTGTTTCCAGGGGAGCCTGTTTGAGCTGTGCACCTCATGATTCATGGGACTGGAGCTTCCCACCCCACCCCCTGGCATCTGCTGGCTGCCATCCTGGCTCCTATTTGGCTCTGATCTGGACAGGGCTGCCTAGAACTGGCAGTTAGGGGAACCCACTGAGCTAGACATCCCTTTCTCTTTTCCCATCTTCCAAGTCATAAACTATTCTGAGAGCACCAGCTATGCAGTAGTCTCCACTTCTCTCCCTAAAGAAGTTGAGATAGTTGAGGGTGGGGGGGTGGGATGGAAGGAGGTCCAGGCTTCAGACTCCCTAGAAAGCCAAGAGACACACCAACTCAGTGGCGGGGCGGAGGTAACTTTCCCTTATCCTTTCATCCATTCACTTGGGAATCTGTGGCCATATTTAATATACTACCAGTTATTCTTAGAAAGCTGTCATGTTTACAAAGCACTACACATCTTTGTATTTAAAACAATAGAAGGCAGAGGTGACAGATTGTTTTAACTAATTAAAGAACATGCACATCCTTTAACTATTAATGTCTTCAAAATGAGTTTATTGTCAGAACCAGAGCCCAAATCCTGGGTCTGCTGGTTCCTAACACATAACCTTGGGCAAATGTCTTAGTTTCTTCATCATCCTCATGATATTTACTATTTCTGAGGGTTGTTGTGAAGATTAATAATAGGTAAAGCACTTAGCCTACTTCTGGACATGTATTAAGCACAGCTATTTATTATCAAAATGATAAACAGGGGTGCCTGGATGGCATAGCTTGTTGGGTGTCAGTCAGACTCTTAGTTTCAGCTTGGGTTGTGATCTCAGGGTTGTGAGATTGAGCCCCACATTGGGCTCCACACTCAGCACAAAGTCTGCTTGGGATTCATATTCTCTCTCTCTACCCCTCCAAAATATTTAAGTCTTTAAAAACTATATATATTAAAAAGTAAAATAAATGACATACATGTCCCTGCCACTGCCCAGCTCCCAGACAGGCACAGGTCTCTGATGGAAACTCCCAGAGATGTGTGCCAACACAGATGGAGCAACCAGCCCATAGCTGACCACGGGAGACAGCAGCCACATGATATATGCTCTGGTTCCCTTCCCCAAGTAACAAGTTAGCCACGTGCCTTTATGGTTTGTGGTGTCTGGGGGAAATCCACCAACTTAGGGGAAGTCACCTCAGTTTGTCTTATCTCCTGGACCCTGCAGCCAGGATCCAAGTCCCACTAACAAGCTGCTTTCTTCCAGCTTAGCCAGGGCCCTGAGTTACAGAAGTGCCTCACCCTGGCACCTTCCCTGTCATCCCCCAAGCATGTTCACTCTCCAACCTTCATCCTGTCAGCCTCCTCTCCCTACTCTGCAGGGCTGGGAGCCAGGAAGCTAGACAGGCTTCCTGGGCAGAGAGCAAAACTCATCTGTGAAGCCCTAACACTGCAAGCTGAAAGCTGTCCACGGTCTTGGACTCAGAGGACCCAAAGAGGAACACGGATGGTTTCTAGAAGTGGGTCTAGATCAAGTGCATTCCACTGGACACATTCATAAATCACTGGCAAGAAAAAGAAAACTCAGTCACGGCACTTCATCCAAGACAGAGCAGAGGAGGGCGTAGATGGAGAGGGTAGGACACAGGAATTCCCTGCACTTAGCATTTTAACCAAATGGACGAATAATCTGGGGTCTGGAAGAGGGGAAGTTGGCCTAATCATTCTGTATAGCTTCCCTGACTGGCTGTGCAGGTCTCTCACTGGCCCAACCATGGCAGTACAAAGTAAGCACACGCAGAACCGTGGAAAATACTGTATTTATGTACATAGGAGGGACAGCTGCAAGCCCCCCACAGAGGACATGCCACCCCAAAGAAAAATCTTAGCAGCAAATTCCTATCTCCCTCAGCACTATCAGCGCAGCCCAAGTTGGAAGGCTAGGCTTCCTGTTTCTGGGCACCCATCATACCCTTCCCAGTGTAGAATTCCCAGGAAGGCAGGAAAAAGGAACTATTGCCAGAAGTGAGGTCCGGTGGGAGCTGGGGTGCCTAGTCATTCCCAGAGAAGAGGCAGTGACTCTATCATGAAGGGTGGACCAGAAGCAATGCTGGGATTCTTCTCTGGGTCCTATGGCCTGCTCTGTTGAAAGCTGGCAGCAGTAGACCCAGTAGAACTGGAAGAAAGTTAGTCATGGGTTCATGGGTATGCACACACATGCGTGTAGCAGGACACAGGTTGTGTATTTTCTTTGTGCTTCATGCCTCCATCTGCCGTCCTCTCCCTGACAGCAGCCTAATACTTTGCACCTCTGTCTCTTTCTGTGGCTATGGATCCAGAAACCGAGTGTTTCTCCAAACAGAATAGCTGTGGTTCAGCAACATGGCAAAGGTAACAGCTGTCCCAGGAAGGTTAAGACAGATGACTAGAAGAGTGGTTTCCTCCAATCAGATATCCTTGATTTGGTTCTTTTTAAAAATAACAGGCTGGTGACAGGTGTGGTGGCTCAAGAATGACATGGTTCCAATTCTGTTATTACCCTGAAAGAGGTCCCCTTGATGACCTCCCAAATAGCAAGGCTTCAGCAGACAGAGGCCATTCTTGAAGCTGTGGTCCTGACTGCTACCTGCCTTCTTGACGGGGCCTCACTATCTCTCTCACACCAACAGAGACTTCACATTTCCAGGGTTCCTCTCAGACCTGGGCTGGACCTCATCTGGAAGGTCTGAGCAGCCCAAGGTGTTGGGGGTGTGGGGCCAAGTGCCCAGCCAGGTGTCCAAAGGACCCGATTCTAGACATTGGATTTAGGGGCTGAGTTGAGGGGGATCTCCTTGAGCTCCGTCCGCATGCACAGGTACTCCCCGATGACAGCCATGAGTGCAATGCACACGGCTTGAACCAGCCACCAGGTCAGCGCCGAGGGGAAACGGGAGCTGTAGAACCAGCAGCCCAGGAGGTGAAAGAAATGGACAGTGACAGTGAAATCCAGACACTGCTTCCCTCGCCGGATGAAGTACAGCAAGCCCAGGGCACTGTGGGGAGAGGACAGCAGTGAGTTGTCACTGGGTTGTCCTGGCCTTGGATCATTTGGGGAGTAGAGACAATTAGGATAACAGCATAGTGATCAGAAGCAAGCAAGAGAAGTGTGAAGCAAGAGTTACATTATTAGATGCCTAAAGAAAGCTGGCAGGTAATGCTGGGAGGGAATCAGGTTGGATGGAAGAAAAACAAAACTATAAGCTTGATGAGAAATGGTGACCATCGCTCAGGGGAATCCTAGGGACCCTGAAGCATACATGGGCCATTGAAAGTGAGGACAACAGGCTATTTGCAGCTGGGCAAATCCACATGCTGGAAGGTTGGCCTGGAATCAATTGATCTTCCCAGTTTTCAAGAGAAGCCAGAAATCTGGATTTTTTTTTTTAATAGAAAATATCCTTTCAACTAAGTGGAAAAATGTTTAATTTCAAACACCACTTGTGGGATGCCAAACAGAACATATCTAGGAGACAAATTCAGGTCAGGTCAGCCCACCCACTTTCAATCTCCAGTGTAAGGTCGAGAACAATAATGTGCAAAGTGTTGGTCTAAGTAGTTCCCGTGAATGAATTAATTTAATCCTTACAACTATGAGATAGGTAATATTATTCGCCTCATTTTACTGATGAGGAAACTTGTTCAAAGTCACTAGACTAGTGGGAATGCTGAGATTCAAAGCCAAGTGAGTCAACCATCTAGAGCCTGAGATCATAGTCACTATGCTAAACTACCTCTCAAGGGGCAGGCAATGGTCATGAGTGGCCTTAAATTTTATCCAGTCAAACCCCTCAGGTGTACCAACAAGAAGCCCAAAGCCTAGAGAGAAGGGACTTAATTTGGCCAATGGCACAAGGACCAACAGACTGACTTCTCCTGACTCCCAGTCCAATCCCCTCCTCATCTCATTCTACAACAGGGAAGTGATCTGAGATGAAAGCTATCCCACAGGCAACATGCAGAGTGACGTAAGAGCTTTTCAGCTAAGTCGAAATCATGATAGAAGGAGCCCTATTATGGAGACAGTCCCAGAACTGGCCTTTGCCACCCACTTTAGTCTACCACTCCCCAGGAACAAGCGCCAGCCTGTCCCATGTCCAAATTTAGGAAGTTAGTTCCAGTGCTGGACCCCAAAAGCTGGAGAGCAAAACTGGTGATACTCACCAGGTGAGGGCGTTGAGGATGAAGGACATCATGGACAGCCGGCCTGGAGGGGTGGAAAAGCCCAGGATCTGAGGGGGAATCACAAATGGAAATATGCTGGAAGTGACTTGGCTTGGTAGAGCTCCAGGCTCCAGGACCTCCCAAGGAAAAAGCATTCATCCCAAAGCACAGAAGACAATAGGCCTCTCCATCAGTGTGGCAGCCTATTTCCAACAAGGTGCTTTCACAGACATCCACTATTGTATCTCATAATGACTCCAAATAGCAGCCAGGAAGAGACTTACAAAGGAGAAGCCAAAGTCCAGAGATGAACATTAAGTAACTTGCCCAAAAGTGATATCATAATTAAAGAAAGAGTAAGGACTATTACAGGGTTCAGCAAACTGGTCCCCTACCAGTCAGACATCTAGTTTTGTACGTAAGGTCTTATGGAAACGCTACCACACCTATTTGCTTAGTACTGTCTCTGGCTGCTTTTGCACCACAGTGGCATTATTGAGTAGTTGTGACCTAAAACCTTTACTATCTTGCCCTTTAAGAAAAAGTCTGCCAACCCCCGGTCTATAATCCAGGTTGTATGCATGAGATGACTCTTCAACAGAGCCCAGGATTTCTACAGGCTCTTCCCAGGAGGACAGAGGCTCCTAAGAGGCTACTTCTGGGCACCTGATGTGTGTGCAAATTCCACCACTCTTGATACAATGCTACTGAATACCAAACATCTGCCCAGCATTGTCAGCTTAGGAAGGCCTCTGACTCTAATCAACTCCTGTTATCCTCACAACCACCTCGCAAAGCAATTTTTATCATTACTGTTACCTCTTTTCAGATAATACCTTGCCCAAGGGCGACACAGAGAATACGCAGCAGGAGCATTCTAGACCTCCTGGCTGAGAAGTGTGCTCATTACCATTCACCACAGCTGCTTCTCAGATGCAACCAACCATCTCATAACCCATTACTTCAGAAAGCACTTTTCATCTTCCTAGGCACCTCTGGGGTCTCTGGGCCTCATAACATTTTGCTGAGAATTATTCCGCCCAGTTTCCAGGAGAGAAAACAGGCTCAGAAAAGTGAAGCAACTTGCCCAAAGTCCCATGGCTAGTACATCTGGACCCAGATTGGACGCTAAACCTTTCTGAATCCAAAGTACAGGCTCTTTGTGTTACAGTCCACGACCTCTCTGCTACTGCTCTCATGATTTTGCAGACGGGAAAACTAGAGTTCAGGGAGGACAACACTTGCCCCACATCATAGGGCTAGTAAACGGAATTTAAACAGAGGCCGGGGGTAACCCCGGTGGCTCAGCGGTTTAGCTCCGCCTTCAGCCTAGGGCCTGATCCTGGAGACCCGGGATCCCTGCATGGAGCCTGCTTCTCCCTCTGCCTGTGTCTCTGCCTCTCACTCTCTGTGTCTCTCATGAATAAATAAATAAAATCTTTAAAAAAAAAAATAAATAGAGGCCCGATTCCAAAGTCTAGGCTGTTTCCATTACACCTCCACGAATGCTGTTTTATCCACCCCCCTCTCCAATATGGCACCTGAGAATGTGAGGCCCAGGGAAGTGAAGTCACCTTCTCAGAGTGTCAGAAAGGAGATGCACCAGGTTGTTCATAAGGAACGTAGGCCTGTTCCTTATGATATCCAGGTCCTTTACTTTGTACTAACAATCTGCCTCGGTGTCAGTGGTTTCCTCTCATGGATGGGGCACCTAAGGCTCAGAAGGATGAGATCCCTTTCCCAGAGCCACAATATGAGATGGTGGTCCAGCCACGGCTAGCCCCCAGGAGGGTCAGGTCAGACCACAACACCCACCCCCCCACGAGGCCCAGACGCCGCCCGCGCCGGCCAGGGGACCCTACCTCGGCGTCGAACATCTGGTCCAGCGAGGGGCTGCTGCGCACCAGCCCATCCACCAGCGCCAACCACAGGCCGAGCGAGCCGTAGAAGACGGTCTGCATGAGGACGATCTGCGACAGGATCAACAACGGGTCCCAGACGTAGCTGCGGAACTGGCCCGCCATGCCGGCCCGCAGGGCCCGGCCGCCACCCGGGGCCTGGGTCAGCGCCGCCGCGCCATGGACCCGGGGCCGCCCCGGCACCTGCGAGAACACACGCCGGGCCTCAGCCAGCCGGCCGTCGCCATGGCAACGCCGCCCGGCCCGGGAGGAGGGACCCGGACGGAGGGAGCGAGCCCATTCCGGGAGTGGGGGGTGAAGGCGGGGTCGGACGGACCCATTCCCAGAGCGAGGGGAAGTCCTGCCCTTCCGGCTGTTCGGGCCCCGCCCGTCCACAGGCTCCTTTGGGGTTCACTCACCGGTGACGGACTCGAGGGTCGAAGCGTCCGAGTGCGGCCCAGCCTCACCGGCTAGCCCCCCAGACAGCGCTGACAGACGGGACCATGGAGGAGAAGCCCTAGCGGCCTAGAGAGGCAAAGATCCAGCGACCACGGCACCAGCCGCGACGGCGTAGGAAGGAAGCGTTTCCGGGGATGGTGGTGGAGGGGGCGGGGCAGAGAGCGCGCAGGCGTGGTGGGCGCAACCTTCGGCTGAGCCTCCTTAGACCCGGCGGGGTAGGGGCCGCCGGGAAGCGGAGTCTGCACATGCGCAAGATGAAAAGTGAAGGCGAACGGAAGTGAGGCACGGGAGCCGTGGAACTTGCGTGCCCTCTACAGGGGAATCTTGAAGAAGGCGGCAACCGGGAGAGTAGGGAGAGGGGTGCGTGGGCCAGAGCAGGGAAAGATGCTTAGCAATGAACAAGTCGATAGATGTTGATTCTATTTCCTTTCTCCTCGTTGAAGTCCAGGATAAGGGGCAGCCCGGGTGGCTCAGTGGTTTGGTGCAGCCTTCAGCCCAGGGCCTGATCCTGGAGACCCCAGGATGGAGTCCCACGTCGGGCTCCCTGCAGGGAGCCTGCTTCTCCCTCTGCCTGTGTCTCTGCCTTTCTCTCTCCCTCTCTCTCTCTCTGTGTGTCTCTCATGAATAAATTTTTTAAAATCTTAAAAAAAAAATAACGAAGTCCAGGATAACTTTAAATGAACCTGCCAGCTCTTCCACGCAGGACTTTGCCACTGTTTTCGTCTTACAGATAATTAAGGGTTGGAGAAGGAAAGCAACATACTGCCCCAAAGACACAGAGTTAGTGGAAGCCAGGAGTAGAATTCACGTGCCAACATCGCAGCACTGACTTCGTGCTACCGGGTGCCTGGAAGGTTTGGACCCATACGAATGGGATCGTCCCTGCCCTCTGACATAACCTGATTACTAGGAGGCAAACATCCTCCTAGTGGATCTTTGGGACTTGGAGCCCAAATGCATCACATGGGTATCCATTTATATTTGTATATACATATACAGTTAAAATAGAAAAAAAGGACAGGTGCTGAAGTCATACCTGGAAGCAGATTCTGACTGCCTGTCACCATGACTGTTTTCTCTCCCTATTCTCTGAGTCCACATAGTGTATGTACACAGCCAGTAAATATTTGCTTAATGAGTCAAAACAGAAAGAGCAACAGCAAATTGATGAATCACTTTATTCCTGCCCAGCCAACCCAAACCCCACCACTTCATTGAGCCTAGTCCCCCTTCTCCAGAATGGAAAGAAAGGAAGTAACCCATTCCAGGAAAAGAAGGTAGAGCCAATTCTATTAGCTGCGTGACCAGCAAGCCACTTCCTTCTTTAAACCCAGCTTCCCAGATTATGAAATACGGAGTTAGACAAGATTAATGTTTGCCAACATTCGATCTACCCTCCACTAATTAGTTTCCCATTTAAACACTTATCAAAGGGCACATGTAACTGCCAATCAGAACCTCTGAACGGCATGTGGTAATCGTATTATCACCTTGAGTTGATATGATTCCAGACAAGAGTAAAGAAACATGAGACTTTATTAAGAGTAAATAGGAGGTTTCTCTTATCATTTAGAAATCCTGTAAACAGTTCCCCTGGACTCCAGTTTAGAAGTTATTAAGGCCCAAAGATTTCTGAGGTGTTTCCAGGTCAACCATTCTTTTAGGTGGCTCAATTCAGATCAAGAAAAATATGTTCCAATCCCTCTGGCCCACTGATGAATCATATGATCTGCTGTTTCTGAGAAAACATCTTCTGTTTATCAAATACGTACGTGATCTTTCATCTTCACAATCTGAGAACGTGGATATTATCTTTTTTTTTTTAGATTTTACTTATTTATTCATGAGAGACAGAGAGAGAGAGAGAGAGAGAGAGAGAGAGAGAGGCAGAGACACAGGCAAAGGGAGAAGCAGGCTCCATGCAGGGAGCCCGACACGGGACTCAATCCCGGGATCCTAGGATCATGCCCTGGGCCGAAGGAGGCACTAAACTGCTGAGCCACCCAGGGGCTGCCCCATCTGTCTTTTTTAAAGTGAGGAAATGGAGACTCAGAAAGGGAGTGTGACTCTATGTAGGTAAGGGAGCTCATAAGCTGATCATAAGGGATTCAACCCCAAGACCTCTCATTCCAAAATGCAGATAACCATTCCTGAAGGGGGGGGGTGGAGGGCAAGGCAAAATAAGTGGTAGAGTAGTGAGGAGAAGCTCAGGAAAAGTGCTTGAGGGTTTGACTTAGTTTCCATGAGCAGTTTGGTCTTCTTTCCAGGTGCTGGAATGTTTGGTTCTTCCTGAGTCAGGCCCTTACTTGAGTCACAGCTGGACCCATTGGGCTCTCTCCACCTGTCACCTCCCACAGACAGAAAGCCCTCCCTGTCCATTCTCCAGAAATGGGAAATGGAAAACTCAGGTAGCTTGAGACGTTAGGGCACTGAATAGCTGGGGTGTGATGTCATTCCTAGAGCCTGGAGCTCACCTCTGGGAAACTTCTGCGGACCTGCAGGACAGCCTGTTGCAGTTTCCAGTTTGCTGTAGGAGTTCAGCTCTTGAATTCCCACCTTTCCTAGTTTGGGAAATGGGGCATCATCCTCTGTCTTAATTTGGGTACAGCAAGGAAACCAAGAGCTGGGGAAAACCACAGTAACTCCCTTAGCCAACCTCCTTGGCCCATTTTGAGAATCTGACCACAGGAAGCCTGGAGAAAAAATGAGTTTTGGGTTCAGCTCACAGAGTCTGAACTAGGGCCCCAATGGCCTGCCATGTGACTTTGGGAAAGTCCTACACTAGGTTTTAGTATGCCAAAGAATAAAATGAAGGAGGAACATTGGACTCCAACTTCCAAATGCAGTCCCTGGCCTTGTGCCATCTGAATCAGCTGAGGAACGTATTATATTGTCAGATTCCCGGGCCTTGTTGCAAACCAAAGTCTGAATCTCCAAAGGAGAATGCAGAAATCTGGATATTTAAAGAGCTCCCCAAGTGATTCAGAGGTATGGCCAACATTTGGTAATTACAGAACAAGATGATCTGTAATTGACCTCAAACCAAATCCTCCTCCTAAGAGAAAATTGCTCTGTGACCTTGCCATGTCCGTGGCTCTCTTTAGGCCTCAGGGTTTTTTTCCATCTGTAATCTGAGGGGGTTGGACTGGAATAGCTGATCTCCAAGGGCCCTTCTCACACTGCTGGGTTTGTGATTCCAAACTTATGAATGAAATTTTAAACTTTAGGTCAGAGACTGAATAACAAACAGCCACAAGCTGAAACAAACTGTCCTCCGGGTGCAGAGAAGAGGAGTGCCTCTGGTTGCTTGGTCACTTATGTCACTTCCACACTGAACTCCCACTGTGGGTTTGTAAGGTCAACTCTTGTGGAGATCATTTTCCAGATCTACCCCCCCATAAATCCCTTGGAGGATGTCCTCATACAGGTCTGTGGGCTTTGAGCCCAGTTATATTTGAAACCAAGCCCTACTACTATCTTGCTGGGTGACCTTGGAGAAGCTACTTCATTTCTGAGTCTCTGTTTCCTTCTCTATAAAAATGGCGATGAGAATAGTGCCCATGTTATGGGCTGTCCTGAGGATCAAATATGTGCTCACCACGCTACCTGATAGGCAGTCAGCATCATGGAAATGTTAGCAATATTAATTACTGTTATTTCTTCCCCTGGAATGTGGGAGTGTTAATACCTGATCTCTCAGATTTATGGGAAAGATCTGGGTGGATGTCAAAGAGAGTGAGCCCAGTGCCTGGCACACAGTAGGAGCTCAGTAAATGCAGTATCTTCTTTTCTTAATCCCGTCCCACCTGCAGGGTTCTCCAACTCCCTCCCTTTCTCCCTTCTTCCTTCCCTAGGCTGCCCACTCACGTGATCCCTTTCAGGGAATGTTTGATGAAAACACTTCAGGAGAGACACGTGTCTCCAGAACAGGTTATGCAACTCTGCGCTCACACTTTTCTTCGGAAACTCCATGTGGGAGGTTGTATTTGGCTGCCTGTCCTCTGCATGGGCTCTGGCCAGTGATTTCCTCTCTCAGAAGAGAAACTGGAGAGAAAGAACTCACCGTTGTCTGTTTTCTCCTTCAGACTAAGAACCCTTTGTTACCCAGAGTATTTTTTGAGAGAGAGAGAGAGAGAGAGAGAGCGCGAGAGCGTTAGGGGCAGGGGGAGAGGGAGAGGGAGAGAGAGAATCTTAAACAGCCTTCATGCCCAGTGTGGAGCCTGATGTGGGGCTCAATCTCACCACCCTGAGATCATGACATGAGACTGTATCAGAAGTCGGACACTTGGGATGCCTGGGTGGCTCAGCGGTTGAGCGTCTACCTTCAGCTCAGGGCATGATCCTGGGGGTCCCGGGATCCAGTCCCACATCGGGCTCCTTGCAGGGAGTCTGCTTCTCCCTCGCCTGTGTCTCTGCCTCTCTCTCTTTCTCTCTGTGTCTTTCATGAATAAATAAAATCTTAAAAAAAAAAAAAAGAACTCACACACTTAACTGACTGAGCCACCTGGAGTATTTTAAGGGCTGTGTGTGCCTCTGAGGAACATTTGCTGAGTTACATACTGTGTGCTAGAAATTTGATCTTGCCTGATTCTTATTTACTTTCTAAAACAAGATTGTAAATTGTAGATACAATTAATAGTCCCAGGAAAGCAAGGCTCAGAGGAGGAAATTCAATGGTCAGTGCTTTTCTGCGAGTCGTCTCTCTATGGAGGGTGGATGCTGCCAGGGATTCCAGCAGGTGGCTGGGCCTCCGAGGGTACTGTTTCTCTTGAATAAAGAACTCTGATCCAGGGAATGGTCACCAGGTCTAAGACACCTCCCAGGAGGAAAAGAAGTGAGATTTTCTGAAAACAGTTGCTCTGCTCCCTAGGCTTTTTGACTCTGCCACATACTATACTCTCTGCCTCTCCCTAGAAATGATTCCTTGCTCTGACTTGAAGAATTCAGGACTTCATTTTAAGAAGAAAAGCTGTTCTCTTCACCTCCCTTTTCATCATTCAATCAATCATTCGATAAATATTCACTGAGCATTTACTATGTGCCAGAAACTGAATAAAGTAAATAAAGAGGAAAAACCCATGAGTATATGTTCTCATGGAGGGGAAAGACAATAAGCAAGTCAACCAACAGTGTAAAACTTCT